GGCCGTCGGATACTGAGGTAGACAGCGGTCAGAGGACGACAGTTGGCCCGGAAGACTCGAATGGTCCCGGCGGAGACGCAAATGCTGAGTTAAGGATGCAACATCATCTTGCTGTTATTTACGAGGACCTCTTCGAAATTATTCATGGCGTTATTCGGATTTTTACGCGATCAGACGGTAGTAAGACTTTACCGCCCCCCCTACTACCTATATGGCTGACTGGATATGATACCTTACCAGGGCTGAGAAAAACATCAATGCTTATTGGAGACTTGATATGGCGGCCTTTCGATTCACGATTTGGTGATTTGATACTACATATGCGAGAGCATCGCGCCAGCATCTTCGAGGATTTAACAATTTGGATCTCGAATATCCTCCTTAAGGAAAAGGCTCGGTTAGCTGCCGAACAGCTCGCACAGTCAATCGAACGTGACCTAAACAGAGTAGAGCGATCGGAAGCAGCAAAGGAGCGACGGTATGCTCAGATGGAGCGACAGCTGGAGGAGGAGAAGCGACGACAATCATCGGAAAACCAAGGGCGAATTGTGGCAGAATTAGCAGAAATTCGTAACTATTTGCGTGGCCGAGCCCAAGATCGTGTCGGTAAATATGACCCTCCTACATCTTCCACGAAATTTGGATAATGATACGTGAAAGAGCGCATGAACTCGAGGATACAGCATTGGCTTGCTGCCCCCAGCTTTCAGGACGCCTATAAAAGAGCTATCCAAACACGTCAAGAGGGGACGATGTCCTGGATTCAGCAGGATCCTCTCTTCGGGCGTTGGGTTAGCCAAGAGCCAAATCTTCGTACGGATGGGTATAGATCAAACGTCTTATGGATACATGGTACGTATCACCGGATCGCCTATCGTCACTCGTATTATCTTATTTCTGATCTTTCTTATGCAGGAAATCCAGGTTCCGGGAAGAGTATTTTGGCTGGAACTATCGTTGAAATTCTACAAACTCTACCAAGTCATATAACCCATGGTTACGCCAACAATCAGGGGCTGGCCCCTACTCGACCTAGCTCCCGTCCCGAGGTTTATTATTTCTTTTTCCAATTTCATGACCCTGCTCATAACCATGCTATTCAAGCTTATCGGGCAATTCTTTGCCAAGCCATATGGAAAAGGCGCCAAGACGAGTCACTATTAGACCAGTTCAGCTTCATCATGGACGAGGAAAGCCAGGGTCAGCAAATTTCCTTCGAGTCGGCCCTGCTGGATCTGCTACGATTCTGCCTTCCCGAGAATTCCATCCTTCTATTTGATGGCATCGATGAATGCGAAGACGATACCCCATTCGTGGCGTCTGTACTCAAGCTCTGCCAGTCACTGCCATCAATCAAGGTCTCCTTCCTTAGCCGGATTAACGTACAGGGGCTTAGACAAGCTATTCCGGTCGATAGGCAGTTATACCTGCAAAGAGCCATGAACGTAAACGATCTCAGGGCTTTCCTCAGCCACGAGATGAATAGCCTATTTAATGATGGATTTCTCCCCAGAGGTACTACTCTAGGTGATCTTGAGAGATTGACGGCTCGACTCATCCACGGGGCTGATGGCATGTTCCTCTGGGCTAGACTGATGATAAATTACCTTCGTTCTCCCTTCTTCATCACTGCATCCGAGCGATTGGATGCTATAATGGAGATAAATCTTCCAGAAGGTCTAGAAAAAATGTACTATCGGATATTCTCGCTTATTTATGAATCAGGGCAAAGGGGGAGGGAACTGGCAGTTCGAGTGTTGGCTTGGACTTCTTATTCCCCTACACCAATGTCTTCTAGCCAGATTCGCCAGGCTCTTGTTGCTGAGGGATTTTCACGCCCTACCACAGTGTCTGGCAGGATCACCGAGTTCGAAGACGCCGCCGTCCTGGCTTGTGCAGGTCTCGTCGAGCGTCATTACCTGGAAACCACTGTTCCCTGCGACTCTAACGGTGCTTGCGTTATGAAGCTCATCCACCAGTCCGCAAAGGAAATGATCGATATGCTTTGGGGTCAATCAGCCTCTCCATATCACGAATTGTCGCGCCATGGTCCGACTAATGCTGACCTGTACATATCTGTCTGTTGCCTACGGCAAATCCTAGACCATACACCCGCGCAGCCCAGGTCGATAAAAGAACATGGATTTGAAAAGGCTCTCGGGTATACTGATGAAAGGTGCCTCTTTACGGACTATGCGGCTACTCATTGGCTTTTACTTTTAAACCGAGGTTTCTTGGATATACACAAGCTGCTCCTGAGCTGGAATACTTACGATCACAGAGATGTTAGCCCGTTCAAACAGCCGATTACCGGGCTCATTGCCACCATCACGGAATTTCTTTCCAAGCCAATACTCGTCTCTACTTGGTTGGAGATTTTCTATGAGGCCGAGGGTTATAGATTGGCGACAGGGTATGAGCATCCTCAAATTGCAGGAATGTATAAATTCGCAGAAGTTCTCACGGAGAGACAACGAGATGGTTCCATCGCCCAAACCCAGATTTATGATCTCTTAGAATTCAGCCAAGACCTTGAGCATATCGTTGGGGTATGGGGCGATCAACTAAAGAATAATCCGCGACTCATTTGGGACGAAGTAACGGGATTCACTCCGAGCCGGTTCTTTTTTAGCCCTATGAGTACTCGAGTGACTATCCAAGATCCTCAGCCGCCTCGTACGTCTACTGTCAACCCCCGGTCCGTTGCCTTGATATCGCATACCACAAATGATGGGAGAAAGGCTACCCTCAGCATTTGGGCTCCATAGTGAGTGACACTTATATTTACGTCGAGCCAATCTTTCTAATAAAATAAAACCAGTCGTCTTCAAAACCTAAGCTTTCTTCACGTTGGCTTCTCTAACGCCGGTAGTTTAGAAGAGATGTGTAACGGATGGGTTTTCGTCTACGAGATTTGGAGGATCACCCCAGTGGCACGAAGAGAAACTAGAATAGAAGGCCGTATCGACTCTATTGACATGTCGACACCGATTAAACGCTATATGGCTCAGACCGTGAAGGATTTCGGCGACGAGATTGAGCTTCCATTGGCTATCGCTCCGGATGTCGCATCATTTGCGATCTTGCGCAGGCTTCATACGGTTCATCCAAAAGCAGTGGGAAATGACCCAGGCCACTCATCCCAGCTCCTCCCATTTAAATTAAAAAATGAACCAGATTTTGTATGGATTCGAGGGGAACTACCGCCCACCATATACTCTTACTCACTCCGGTTTGCGCCATGTGGGAAGTATCTGGTGTTATCAGAGACACGCGCCAATCGGCACCGGGACGCGCTGTTCTGGTACAAGTTAAATGCAGAAAACAAGCTTACGGTCGGGACGGCCGGCGTCCTGATGATGGGCTCTATCCATCGATACCAGCTTGACTTCCATCCGAGGCTCGCTATCGCGGCCGTCGCTTTCTCCCATGGGGCAATATACCTCTGGCGATGGAGAAAGAGCGATATTGACGTGTCGATGACTCAACAATCCCTGTCACGCTATAGTGACCCTGACCTACATGGCTTAGTGGTTATTCACTCAGATCCCAAGACCACTTCTCACGGAGTGAGATCTATAAGTTTTTCCTCCTGTGGTTCCTTCATTGTTATCGAGACAGGAAAAGACATGAACCCCGAAGTCTTCCCTATTCCATACCATTTACTTCTTGATGAATGGTCATGTGTACCCCTAGATCTCAACTACTCCGGGGAGGGAACTATCCCGTTGATAGACAGGCCAATCGGTTCCTCAATGACGTCGGTAGACCGGGAGCGACAACTATCGGGGCGCAACAGGGAACCTGGAAGAGCTAACGGACGATGGAATGTGAGTACTCTGGGGCATTCGAACGTAACATCCATTGTTCGGTCAGGGAACGACATACAACTTACCAGACGGACTGAAAAGGATCAGGCTGCCGTTAGGTTAGTGAGCGTCCCAGGTCGACTAGACAGCGCCAAGGCGACGTTACTTCCTCTATCGGGCGAGGTACCTTCAGTAAGGATATCCATTGACAGAGAAAGCCGGCGGAATTACCCTCTTGTCCGCATCGGCGGTGAATTGGACCACGTGCCACCGTCTGTTATCGAAAGGGATCCAAGATTCATTACCGTACCGAGATCTTTACAGGGTATCACACAGACACTTCCAGATAGGTCGGCTGATAACTTTCGACGAATCGACTATCCAGCGTCGTCCGCGGAAATATCCGGGACCACTTCGATGCGGGAATCTCATGTTACGGAGCCTATAGAAAAGGTAGACGGGTTGGATGGGATTGGATGGGAAAATAGTGACCCCCCCAAATGATGCCGGTGAAACTTTGGCATTAACGGAAATGAACCTTTTTGGGGGTAAGCGCGAGCACAGCTTCAAGTCTGCACGTCTGACCATAACTAGACAAAATTGATGTAATATAGGCCTTTTCAATGTCAGCCCTAGCAGAGCGATCGAGACATACTGCTTTCCCATACCGCAATCCCCGTGATTGTCAAGGGGGCGCCGCTTGTAGTGCGCTACAACACGCACCAAAGCTTGAAATTGGTAGTAACGATACTTGATACGTGGCACTGGAGGCTATCTATGAATCAGGTTTACCGTATTATAGAATATTCTTTACTCCCTGGTGTCCTTTGCTCTTCTGTTGACGCGGATCCCGCTGATATCGGAGACAAACCTCCTATCGCGCTGGTATCACGATCTAGCTTAACTGGACAGGTAGAATAACGAATTTCTCTACTGCAAACCCCTTATTAAAATAGCGGTGTTTACCACAGTGCCATAAATCGTTAAGTGTTCTTATTTCAAGAATGGCTGTGGTGACATCAGCAACTTGACGCATGTTTCGGTACCTGGATTTTCACAATTGTAAAAGGTGGTGCTAAATCAAACGTACGCAGAAGGTAAAAAAATTCAAACCCGATTGAAGAAACCTCTTATGATAGCGGAACGAGAGATATGATAGCCAGAAGGTGAAGATATCAAAAATAAATTCGAAGGACCGAGCGTGGATCGAACACGCGACCTCGGGATAACATGACTAAGAACTGCAATCCTGCGCTCTACCACTGAGCTATCGGTCCTGTGGTATGTGAAACAACGAATTGGAACTCGTTATTTGCTTGTGGTGATCGGGTTTACAAATAGTGGTTATATGCTAAAAACAGCGCCGCCGAACCAGAGTTAGAAATTAACCAATAGAAGGCTTACTATTTCCACCAGGTTACTAATAAACTGCTGCGTTTGTTCCGTATGCAGTGGGCTGGATCCAGCGCAAATCGACTAGGCAATATGTAAACTTAGATCCGATTATGCGGCTATAATTATTACTGCTCTTTCCTTTTCCTGTATACCTTCTAGTAAAAAACGACTGTATTAACGGGTAGGGATACGGCAACCTTATGATCTTACGTTGCGGCGAGAACAAAAGCCCTCGTCAAAGAGCACTTGCTTTGGTGAAGTTGTGAAATTCAATACGGTACTGTACCTAGTAAGGTCAGATGCTTTGCACCGTATCTTTTGGGACTGAGTTTTTGCTACTGTACGGACATAATAATTGTGCAAACAACAATGCAATTAACACGGCATGAGTAAGGGCGGCAATGACGCTAAGCCTGATCTGTTCAGCGCCACTGTCTCGAAAGGGAGAGGTACGTAGATACTTTCGCTCACTCCGCAGAGTGTTAGGTGGGCAAGTGCCAGGTGCCTCTTTTGCCTGATAAGGTCGCCGGTTCCATGGGTGTCACGAACCTTCTACCGTACAGGCAAGGACAGCCCCAGCCCGGCCCAGCCTGCCAGGTGCCAAGTAGCCCCACTCACCCCTTGCCGATTTGCTGCTGACCCACAAATATCAATGTTGCCCCTCCATTCACACTGCCCAGTGCCGCTTGCTACTTGCGGCCTTTCTCGACCTCCCTCTTTTCTACAAATTGAAACCCACCCACCAACAACAACATCAACACAACAGCCTCAGGACCATTGTTAAACAACCCCGTTTTGCACAAAGAAGCATCGTTCGTCGACCATAACATATAAAATACCACAGCCTTTCTACATCTACACTCCAAAGCGAGGTCCACTAGTTACAGTCGTCCATCGCTTCATCCGAGTTCATTCTCCGCACACCCTTTTCCCCAAGTCACCCCCGTAAACTCGAGTTTATGTCAATCGAAAACCTCAAGACCTATGGTACGTTCAATTCCGTCGTCGCTTCATTTCAAGGAAGGCGATATTGCTTCTGACGATCCCGTCGAGCTCTGATATCGAATTCCATTTCGCTGTTTCTGCAGCCATGGGGCTCGTCGGCTTGTTTTCTGACACTTCTCCCTTCTTCCATCTCGTGTTATGTAATTACAACATATGCTAACCGACTTCTCCGTATAGACCCCTTCGCCGAAGCCGATGAGGATACAGGTGAATCCAAGCAATCACAGAACTACATCCATATCCGCATTCAACGTACGTATATACCACCTCCCGATGACGCTCACGTGTGGCAAATTATATGAGCGCGGCTCTCTCGTAGCCCCTCTCAATCCCCACCCTAGCCTACGTGCCATAGTAACATGGATCCATCATGCTGACTTATTTCCCAACAGAGCGGAATGGACGTAAAACCTTGACCACGGTCCAGGGTCTTCCGAAGAAATTCGACCAGAAGAAAATCCTGAAGGTCATCAAGAAGAAGTTCGGTATGTTATCTGTCTCACCCTTTTTTAGTGCTTCAGTATGCTGACTAGGGATATTTACATCAGCCTGCAATGGAACCATCGTGAACGACACCGAGATGGGTGAAGTTATTCAGCTGCAGGGCGACCAGCGCAAGGATGTTCAGGAGTTCCTCGTCGACAAGAAAGAGGGCCTAGAGCTTGATCCTAAGACCATCAAGGTCCACGGTTTCTAAAGCTGGTCATGTCCATACGCCTTCCGTAACCCCTACGTATCGATCACGAGATGCGCAACTAGATGGTCAGCCTTGCATATATCGGCATCTCGGAATCCCGGTCCGATGTGCGGTGGCATCGATAGCTGCTCCTTACATCGTGCCAAGGGCTGCACTATGGGTCGAGGCGTTTACGGAATGGTCGGGACATGATACCCTTTGTTGACTTCATAGAGGCTTCTGATTTTCGGGATTTGCTGAGCGAGGCCGAGGTTACCCCCTCGGACCTTAGTATTTGATGCTTATGCGGAGGCGCAATAAATATGGATGGCCTGGACTTGCAAGGGACTCTCGTTCTCGATTCTGCGATAAATGGCAATATCTATTATAATCCGAACAGTCTCCAGAATGCTACTCGTAACGTGAAATGTGATATGTCTACTCTAAAACCCAGCCTTGTAAACCCTGCCACATGTAGATCCATTCATCTGGTCTGACCTTACTACTTGAAAGCTATTGTGTTATCCATGTTGTAAAATCTTTTAAAATCTTATGAGACTGATCTCCTGTGAAGTTCCTGGCAATGGTAACTTCTCATTGGTTGATATTTTGCTCTAACGTAGTTTCCAGTCGAATATCTCGGGTTGTCACTCTTTGGTGGAGTTTCCACAAACGCAACAATTCAATTTTTCCAAGTTTTCTAAAGCGCATCAATCCAACTGTTTTAAGAAGCTTACTGCCGTGACAATCATACTGTCGTCGTATACGTCGCGTGGTCTCTGGAATTTTCTTCTGGGCAGCACCGACGGAAAAAAGCGAAGAAAAATCTGTTAAGAGAATGAAGGGCCTCGTTCTCCCAGCACCACCGCCCGCCTTCGCGCGCAGGAAAGCGCGGATTCTGGAGCAGCTGGCGGTGCCTGAGGCTGAGTACGCGGACGCTTCGCCGAAGGGCAGCGTTGATGAGGGGATTCGCGATTTGATTGGTGAGGTTAATCGGTTGGATGGGTTCGTCACGACGAGTAGCTGTGCGGGGAGGGTCAGCGTGTTCCTTGAGGGGAGCAAGAAGGCCGGCGGCGCTGGCGTGGAGAGGGAAGGGGACGCGGGCCGAGATGAAGGTGGTGGGGACGAAGGGGAAGGAGGGGAGGTTAGGAAACTTGCTGGTGTGGGGGGTAAGGGTGGAGGCGGGAGTTGGTTGTTTGTTTCTCATGATCCGGTTCCTCTGGATGGTGAGGGGGCACGGCCGGCGGAGGGCGATTTGGAAGTGTTGTTGGGGCTGAGAGGTTCCTGTAGTGAGGAAATTACCGCCGATCAGGTACCGGGAGGCGACACCATACGGGATGTTGCTGCTACGAGGCTCATCCACTTCAAATTCGAGCCGATGGTGAGTCGTCCTATCTGGCCTTTGTCTTGAACAGGTTGAGTGAGAAACCCATGCTTACGCGGAAATTTGTCAGATTCTTCATGTCCTGACTGCGTCTCTGGAACACGCACAGCTGTTACTGAGGTGTGCTTTACAAGCCGGGTTTCGAGAAAGCGGTGCAGTCAGTCTAACCGCTGCGGTTGGAGAGCAGCACGCGACCCCGATAGTCGCTATCCGTTCTATGGGACTCATGTTCGAGTCCCTGATCGGTTACCAGTCTGGCGATGGCGAGGATGGCCGACTGCAGTGCACCGTATCATCGGCTTACCTGCGGACACTAGTTCATATCGCTAATGAACGATTCAACGAGAACAAGAAGAGGATCGAAAGATTTCGCTCGGCCCTTGCCGAAGCTATGTGTACCATAACGTCAAAGAGCAGGGAGGATTGGGAAGATGCACAGGTCCGGCGGGAGAGGAAGAGGGCCGAAGGCTTAAAGAGAAGAGATGAACTACGGAAACTGAAGGAGGGCAGCGGTGCTGTAGACGTAGAAGCCGCCACTCTCGACGTGCCCTTGAATACAGACCTCACATGAACTACCCTTGAACAGTACTCGAACTTCGCAGACTCAAGTGTGATCCATCTTCTATATAGCTCGTTTCCCCGAGCGCTCCCTCTAAATAAAAATGCTATGCCGTAGAGTCGATTATTGGTACAACAACAGAGTATCTTCTTCCACTCAATGATACTCCCATCTCTGGAAATTCTCCTGTTTCCTACTTTCCCTTCTTCTTTTCTTTTGCCTTTCGGATATCGTTGGGTCTCACGAAACGACCTTGTCAACCCACCCCTTCTCCAGCCTCCGCACCTCCTCCCGGAACGCCTCGACCTCCTTCCAGCAGTCCAGCGGGCGACGGTCGTTCTCCTGCAGACACCGCACCACCTCGCCGCGCGCCTGCTCCACGCTGTCGGGCAGCGGCTTCAGCTGTTTCCGCTTGTGCAGGCGCGCGCGCAGCGCCTCGACTTCCTTCGACACGGCCGGCTGGCTCTTCTGCTGCTCGGCGGACTCGTCCGCGGGGAGCGACGTGATTTTCTCGGTCGCGGCTTTGAGGAGCTCGGTGGATTGCGCTTCCAGCTTGCGCAGCTCCGAGGCTACGCGCGCTTGGACGGCGAGTTCGAGGGTCTGCGCGCGGGAGGTGTCGGACTGTTGTTTGGTATTTACTTGGTTAGCAATGGTGCTGTAATATGTATGGGTGGTTTTGGTTGGAGAAGGGGAGGAAGCTCACCTCGCTACTTGACTGGAGGGACTCGACGACATCGTGGGAGACGCCTACGGGTGAGGATCTACGGGTAGACGAGTCAGGCTAGCTCGGATGTGTTTAGGCACGCAATGGCAGATTAAGAAACTTACGCCTTCCAGACATGAGAGGATTGGCTGGCCTCCGGCTTAGACGAGCTCGAGCCCATGATTGTGCGGCTTCGTCGGTTGGCTGCTGGGGCTGAGGTTTGTGCTCTCGGTTCTGACGTTTTTCTGCTGCTACGAAATCACTCGAGCCTCGCTCAGATGAATGCCGCCGGAAAATCCTTACGGTGCGAATTGGGCCAATTACGGATATTTTTACCGTGATGGATACAGAGGTACATGTAAATACTGTGACGTCTGTATCGATGGATTCAAGGTTGTATGGGGAATGATCACGTGCCTGGGTGTAATATGTACAATTAGGTAAGTACTATGTATTATGTAATTTGTCTCGATTTATGCTCTTCTACTGTACAGCTTCGACATCTTCACTTGGACTTTGCATTCTAATTGCTAATGTGATATTACCACGTTCACG